CTCTTAATGATGTGAATGACTACATCGTCGAAGCAATGACCCTCTTAGGACACCGAACTGAAGAGGATCAAAATGCCGAAGTGAAGAAGGATCTGAAAAAAGGGGTTCATGAAGATGGAGAGATCAGCTAGGATGTTGTTGATTTTCTCCCTCAATATTTCGTTTCCTCTACGGGTTATGCTCTTAGACAGAGTCATAGCTGACCCAGGTGTAGGGGCGGGATGACAAAGAGAAAAAGATTAAGAGGGCATTTTCTACTTCTGACGTCAAACAGGCTGCATTCGATTTTCTAGGAGCAGTAGTAATGTCTATTGGCATTCTCTGTCAAGTATATATTTTCTATGTCTTATCACTTTGAAGTGATTGTCATGTTGCCATTGGACCTATCTGAGTGTTTGGAATCGCGTTCTTATTCTGCATTTTTCATGTGTTGATTGATTTTTTTGTTCTCTTGTCACAATCGCATTCTTCGAACAGCATGTTTACATATTGTTTTAAATAATATGCATTACTGATGCCAGATTTTCAAAGATTAATTTTGAGATCAATCCTCTTGATTTGCTTTGGTTCCGTTTTGCGTTGGCCAAAGAAAAATTGAGTGCTGCTGCTTTTTGTTTATGTTCGATGTTCTGCTATTAGTGACGCAAGCGCTTTTTTAGGGTACCAGTTGTGCCATCAAACTTGTCACTGCTTTCATATACCTGCGCAATCTTATCGTAAGGAGCCAGCTACATTTATAGTGTAATCACTGCCAGGAGATACACAACTAAAATACTTCCCTCCAGCTACCATATCCTTAGTATTCGGCACCACGCTATATCATTCGAATTCACTGAAGCTGAAAAGTCATGTGCTTTATCAAATATTTTATGTTCATAGTGATATAGTCCATATCTGGCCTCATTTATCCACCTGAAAGGTCAATACTGTGAAATTGATTTTTCGTCGAGCATGTGACTGTTGTTGACATCCTATGTTGCAAATATTTAATCAGTGGATTGGATTTTTTTGGCTTTGGCGGAGGCCCTGATTTCAGCTGTTAATACCTGTACTTTGAAGCAATTGAGAACACAAAATCAAATACAGGGGAAGCTGGGCAAGTATAATTTTCTCGTTAACAACATACAAAATTTCACGCTTTTTCCCTAATCATCTTCTCGTAGCATTTGAAAGGACTTAAATTAAAGAAGAGGTAAGACGAGAAGAAGTTTTGTTGTGATCTGTCAGAACTGCAAGTATGCGATAATCCGTTCTGAATTTTGGATTACGAGCTCTAAACTTGTAGCAAGGTT